GGCGTTATATGCTGACGATACGTGTATGTTATACTCAGATAAATGTGCTCTCAACATAACGAACACACTTCAAGAGCATATAAACCTCATTCTGGAGTATTTTCAGAAATGGAAAATAAAAATCAAAAATGAAAAAACTAAGGCTCTGTTTATAACGCGTAAGTGGAGACAGAATCCGTCGAGAGTAAGAGTGGGTGATATGGTGATAAACTGGGAGGATAGCGTTAAATATCTCGGCATCATGTTGGACAAACGATTCACATGGCTTAAACATGTTCAACTGAAAAGAATTAGCTGTGCCAAAATTCTTCATTACCTCCAACCACTATTTAGAAAAGAAAACCTCAATGCTAAGAACAGGAAACTGATATATAACCAAATAATTTGTCCTTCACTTCTATATGGTTGTGTAGCGTTTAGCAAAGCTTCAAACACTACTATTCACCAATTAGAAATTGCACAAAGCCAGGCTCTGAGAAGACTTTTCAAAGTTCCTTGGTATATTAGGACGAATGACATCCTTAGGGACCTCAAGATTGATCCCATCAAAAAATACATAAAGGATAGAGCCTTGAAATTATTTGCGAAATCTGACAGACTTACTAACACCGCATTATCAAATCTCAGAATGGTTACAGGCTCCTCGGGGAGGTATGCAGATCTGAGGTCAATTATTACTTAGTCTGATGATGTGATAAATAATAATCCAGTCAAGGCGCAAAGGGGGGTTTTGTAGAAATCTCGCAGTTAATATGGAGTAAAAGTGCTCAGGTGCACTGACTCAACTTCCCTCAACATAATAATTGAGCAATTTAACCTTTCTGAAATCATAAAAATATATTTTATTTTAACTTTTCATTAATTTAGTTATTTTTTAAAACTTATTGTCTTAATCAAATTAGTAAGTGATAGCAGAGATTCGAACCTTTATGTTTAGCCAAACTCATAACAAAGGCGGTAATCATATGTAAAATATTTTTTTTACTATTACCCATCACTATTGAATAATATTCCGATTTCGTTCTGTTTCAACAACAATTACTAATAGTATCAGGTTTATAAAGCCGATCAAGCAATTTTATTAGGAATAAAAGCCAGCGACCATTTCATTGACCATTGACATTTATTCAATAACTACTAGTCAACATAGTGTTAAACACAATCAACATCAGGTAAAAAAATACATAGCACCAAAAATTTTATTAAAATAATCGTTCTGAGTCCATGAAATATAATAATATCGACATCGTATCGTAGTGTCGGTCTTCACACTTAGTAGTAACAGAAAATGAATTTAAGTAGTCACCCATTTTGACAATTAAACTGCAATAAGCACTATAATAATTTTTAATTATTACTGTTAAAATGAAGATAACCAAAGATTTTTAACCAAAGGTTAAGAAAAATATACGATAATATAAATATACTCATTTTACCGACGGTCGAAAGACGTGCTCAAAGTGTAGTGCTCAACTTAACTCAAATGTATACATAACAGTGGCAATAAATCGACAAAAAATTTATTAAAAATTCATAAATTTGAAACTGCAAGTATGTAGCGTCTATGATTAAATCGTATACACCGCTTAAGTGTGACAATTATTTTCATACTTCATTGTTTACAATGGGTTTCGTTTCCAGTACTTTTTGACTTGCTTAGAGAAGAAGATTGAGACTAAGTCTAAGTAAAAATAAACCTTATCAACAAAACAAAAAACTTGAAAAAATTATATAGTGTTTTTTTTTAAATTTATTTTAAGCTTTTAAAATTTTTATTGGGTAAAATATAATTTAAAGTAATATTTATAAGTTTAATTACCTTAAAATGGATAAAAATAAAAAAATAAAATCAAAAAAGTAAAAAAATTGAAAACTTAATTACAATTAATTAATTACAATTATGTATTGAATATAATGATGATAATTAAATAAAAATTGATAGGACGTTACTATCCTTAATATCGAAATAAAAGATTCCCGGTAATCTTTTCACAATCAAGGGGTCCCCAACTTGTATATCAACTTCTTTATTGCAACCAGTTTCTTGTAGAATTTCATCAAATGAGCTACACTGATATATGGGTGCAAATGAATAACCTCTCACTCCAGCTGCATAAATCAAATTTGCTCGTAGGTGTGGACAAAAGCCAAAAATGTCAATAGCACAGCTTTCGAGAGTCCGACCCCAATTTGGATAAAAGGAAGTATGCCCTACAGGTTCAATGACACCTTGTCGTCCAATTGTAGCATGGATAGTAACAACATAATTGGCATCGGTTTTTGTCAAAGTTTGAGATGGATCATCAACATCGATAAATGGCCGAGCCGGATCAATTCCAACGATAGCTTCGATTTTACCAAGCTTAACTTGTTTGCCTGTAAAACCAGCAACATGTGCTCCCAAACTATGTCCAATTACAACCAATTCATTAAAATTCAATTCAAATTTGATGTGTAAAAAATCAATTAATTTTGCTACTGAAACGGCTACATCAGGTAATACTTTCGATGCGACTGATATATACGGCATATAGGCATACTTGCTCCAATCAACAGCAATAATATTATAGCTTCCCGTTGCAAAATAAGCCTCTCTTATCGGACGATTTGGAGTTGTCAAGTGAGACGAAAGAAAACCATGAATAATGAACCTAAGGATTGAAAAATGTATCAATATTTTTAGAAAAAGTATATATACACACGTTTAATTTATATACAAATTTAAAAATGGCACTCACTTGGTCTGATGCGAAGAATTGTAATTCGAGGATCTAATTGAATTTTCATCATTTGCATTGATTATTTGTGGATCATCCGGATTTTGTTTAGTGTACAGATAAAATTTGACACTCTCAACAACGTCCAATGGGTCTATAGCAGCATTAATTCCAACTAAAAAATTTATAATTTATATTTTATATATATAGTATTTATATAATTTTTAATACCAAAATATGTTGAAAAACATAATAGGATTAAATACGTGTGCATATTGAATAAAATTCACTGTCAACTAAACGTTTAGAAAATTGTTTCGCTTAAATATTATTCAAAGTAACCACTTTATTCAAATTAGTTTTGTTATAGATTATTTTTAATTAGTTTTAGAGATAATTTTAAAAATATACCTCAAACTAATTACTTTAACACAGATAAAAATTAACATAATAATTAAATTTTATAAATAAAAATAATATAATAATTTGTAATTTGGATTTGTATTATGATCCAATTCTAGTTCTAATTTGACAGGCATGAGTTCTAGGCCTGGTACTTGCAGTCCAAA